TTTAATAAACTTTTTCTATTTGTGAAAAATTTCTATGTAACTCAAAAGTAATTTTTATACATATTTTACACAGCATTATTAATATTATTATTTTGGAGGTTGCAGGACATATTAAGTTACTTAAAAATGAAAAATAATTATATCATTCAATTGAATCGGAAAGTGCATTCTTGGTAGCAGGATTTTTCATTACTAAAATAATAACCAGATTGAGTGATCGGAGTATTGACCATCTTTGCTTTTCAAAATCTTATTATAAAAATTTACAATAATATTTTGTATTATGCTTTATTTAAATAACGAAAATTACCTTCTAACTTAGAAGTTTGATCTATGTTCGTTTTTTTCTTTAAATTTTCAACTTGATTCAAAGGCATTTTTGTTATAAGCAATTTCCAACAAACTTTAATAAACTTTTTCTATTTGTGAAAAATTTCTANTTATTCTGGGTATCTATTTTTGTTTTGTTTTTCACTGTATTTTTTATCATTGTATAACTGAATATTTTAAAATGAATTACATAAAAAATTCTTGAAATACAAAGTCTGATTTAAAAAAAGTACAGGGACTTATTTTATGTGTATCTGAGCAACAGATTTAAAAAATTGAAAGAAAGAGTAAATGAACTTTCTCTTAATGCTGAGCCAAATTTAAACTTTAATCTGTTAGGCATTGGTCTACAACAGCATTATCAATTAAGAGTTGTGATTAGTATTCTGCAATTACAGAAATGGTTGATTTCAAGGAACAGGTAATGGCACCAAATTTTACTTTAATTTGTAGAAAAATTGGTTCAGAAGCTGTTGGAATGAATGGATGAAATGAAAAGAAGCCTTTAAAGAGAATACATTGACAAATTCAAAGAGTTTAAATAGTTATAACAGATTTAAAAGTGGTTCTTGTTAAGTGAAGGCGATCCAAGATCAGGAAGACCATTGACATTCACTTCTGATGACAAAAAAAGAGATTATCACGTTGGTAAGGTAGAATCTGAGAATAACAATATGAGAAATTGCAGAAAATATTAATATTTCTTATAGTTCTTGTCAAGATATTCTTGACACTTTGAGATATAAGAAAGTTGTCACAAAATTTGTTCCTCAAATCTTAACTCAAGAACAGAAACATCAATACCTGGAAGTTGCTCAGGATTTGCTCGAATGTCCTGAGAAAGACAATAACTTTCTAAAATACATTAATCATGTGATGAGCTGGGTCTACAGATATGAAATCAAAACTAAATGGTAATTCTATAAATAGAGAAAATTGAATGAACCATCATCCAAAAACAGGCATTCATGAGTTATTCAAATGCAAAAGTTATGCATATTGTGTTTTTCAATTGCTGTGGATTAGTGTATCGTGAATATGTTCCAAATGTCAATGCTTGAGTTGGGTGTGTTTGCATTTTGTCACTGGATTTGTGAAAGATGATTACTTGGTTTTTACATCAAGACTGCATAAAGTCTTGCACTGTAATAATGTAATTATTTGTGTCATAATTTTTTATTTGTTATATACTAATTATTTTAAATCTGGGAAAATCTGAATACCTTTTGCAAGGTTTTCAGAAAACTTTAAATTTTAGGGTGTGGAAATGCTGGTTATATGGTAAACTTTATGCTTGGCAGTGTAATTGCTTTGTACACAAGAGACATATGATCAGTTTTGCCAAGTTGTTAATAAGCTTTTTCCTTATTAACCGCATTTTCCCACCATATTAGACCAATGTCCCACAAGATTTTTATAGAAATCAAAATTTCTTGTTCTCTAATATTATAACCTTATTCTCTATTATTATCTTATAAGATCACAGATGTAGGTACAATCAGAAGTTATGTAGCATATGACTGTATATTAAGTCATAAAAATTGCTAATATAAATCTATAAACATGCAATGATTTAGATATTTCTTTGATTTCATTTTTAAAAAAATGTAATTTATTAAACCAGGAAAAAGCATTCAAGTTTTGCACATACCCACAGTTGGAAAACTGCCTGTAATTATGTTGCTAAAAGATATATGGAGGATGTTGATAGAGAAGTATATTTTGAAGATGTAAAACTTCAAATGGATGCAAAACTTTGGGGAGAGGAATACAACAGACATAATCCTCCTAAAAAAGTAAATTTATCTTTTGTTTTGTTCAGAAATAGTTTAGTTAAATATAAATTCACTCATTAATAAAAATTTTATTTAAAATATTTTAAGAAAGAATTATGAATATAGTAGAATAATGAGAAACCACAATGTAAAATTTAGTTATGATAATTTAGAGGTATCAGATTATGTAATTTTTCTGATTATGATGATATAATTCTTGATAATTTAAATTATGATTTAAAATTATTTTTCATAATTTTATAAGATAAATAAATATTATATACAATTAAGACAATAAATCTAATTAGATAATTAGATATACATCTAGTTTATTTATATATTTATAATACATATTTAAAAATAACTTTTTTTATTGAATTAATTATTAAACTTACATACATACAAAGTACCTAACATTACAAATTTTAATTTTTCTTTAGGTTGATATATTTCAGATGTCAGTGATTGAATTTATCAATAGACCAGATAAGCCTTTATTTCACCTTGAACATTATATTGAAGGACATTACATAAAATATAATTCCAATTCAGGTTTTATAAGTTGTGAAAATTTGCGTCTCACACCACAGGTAATTTTATTATAAAAAGATTTTAATTATGTGAAAATGGAAATTCTAAAATATGACCTTTAGAATTTATTATATCTACAATAACTTTATATATGTGTGTGTTATAATTTAGGCATTCAGTCATTTTACTTTTGAGCGTTCAGGACATGAATTGATTGTAGTTGATATTCAAGGAGTTGGAGATCTCTATACAGATCCTCAAATTCACACAGCAAGTGGTAAAGGCTATGGAGATGGAAATCTTGGTTCAAAAGGAATGGCTTTATTTTTTCATTCTCATGTATGCAATAGAATTTGCAAGAGTCTTGGACTTTCTGAGTTTGATATTGCACCTACTGAGAAAGTATCAAGTCAGAAATTTGCAATATTGCAGGTAATACATAATATTTTAACAATATTTACGTCTTGAAAAATAGATTAAATTTCGGATTCTGTTCTAATGCAGTTATAAATTCTTTTTGGTAAATCATTTTAAAAATTCATATTGTTTTAAATGTTTATTAGCTTTATTTGTATTGATAAAGTTTTATTACTAATATTAATAATTATTGTATTCATTTAAATGATTAATAAATGAAAATAAAATTATTTAAAATAAAAAATCTTCTTTTTAATACAGCAAATCCTTTTTATATTTTATGTAAATTGTTACATAAACCCAAAAGTTCATTTATTTTGACTGTTTTTTTTATGGAAACAAAATTCTTCAGTAGACACAGAACTATTAAATATGTAAATTTATATAAACTATAATAAGTGATTTGTGCTTTAGTCAATAATTTGAAACAGTCAAGCTTTTTTTTTTAACTATAGAATCAAAGTAAACTGTTTTACTTGAGTAAAATTAAGTTAATATAAGTATTTCAAGAAATAAGCAATGTAAATTCCCTTCCTTTCTATTTACATAAATCACAATTTAACAAAACCTGGAGATCAAAATCAAATTTTGATGTGCTAAATCAAGATGTCTTGTATCTGTTACATAAATATAGCAAGTATCAAATCCTGTATATTGTATCTTATAGCAATCATTTTGCTTGTTTTAATGATTTTAAACATTTAAATCAAACTTTCAAATTAAAACTGTACTATAATAAACCTCTTAAATATAAACAAATAATAATTAAATTATTTAAACCAGTACATTTATTTTAATATAAAAGTAAACTTATGTTTTATTAAATGAGTGAATTTAAAATAGGATTTAAATAAATAATTTTTTTCTGATAGATGCATTCAATCAATGCATTTGCCAGTGATGTTTGGTTGATATAATTGTTTCTTGTTTTTGACATTAAATGGAGGATTTCTCACAGAATGTTAAAATATCCTACTAACTTTAGAACATATTTTATTAATAATCTTGAAAAAGTGAAGACATATATAAAGTTTTTTTAGTATAACTTTAGTATAAAATTGTAAACCATCTAGACATTTGCCATCCATGTTTATGCATGTTTTACTGTTTTCATATATTATTCTCATATCTTTAAATAGTTTACCGCTCACTCCATAATCACATAATGCTTGCTTAAAACAATACTGATTGACAATAAATTCATTGATATTTGTTAGATTAGTATCATTTCTGGTGTTGATCATATATATATATATAAAATTTAGAAATTACATTTAGATCTACAAAGAAGTAATAAACAAGTTATAAAACAAATTATCTGTGAGTGAGTAAGAAAATATGATGCATAGCTTGAATATATTTGAGTTATCAAGCCTTCTTCAGTATACACCTGAAATTGAATGGAAATAGCTTCACTGAATAGATTACATTACTTTGAATATTGTGTTTCAGATAAAGTATTTTAGTAGCTATATTTTTCTGTCAGTGAATTTCTTCTCAGGCTAACAACTGTTTTTGTATTTACTCTTCTAGAATATATATAGTTTTTTTTTTTAGTTTCTTTACTTTTTGATTTTAGTATATAAAATTTCATTATTTGATTTGTGTTCAAACAAACTCAAGTTAGTTTAAATAAAAACTGATTGAAAGAGTGAAATCCAATAACTTTATACTACAGATAATTTCTTAAAACTCTAAGACAGTTTTAATTTTTTTACTATATTAAATTTAGCTACATTGGTAAGATTGCAATGGAAGGAAGCAGCAAGAAAAGTTCTTCATTTAGAAGATCCGTGGGAAGAATTTCATTTAGAAAAATTGGAAACTGAAGTTGTTAGAAGATATCGTTTCAGTGCTCTCAAACAAGATTGGATAACTGATGATATATTAGTAAAAATTGCTAAAGAGGTATTGATATCTATACCATAAATTAATTCATATAA